TATGTACATACCTGTATGTAGACCTCTATAAATGCCCTTTGCCTCCTAGTTCTTTCCTCTATTTCCTTTTACTTTCCTCTTGTCCCACTATCCTGCTCAGCCTTCATTTGGGTTTCAGTAATTCCTCTCAGTTACATTGCCCTGGATCAAGCCCTACCAGGCCTCTTACACCCTCCTCACCACTGATTTTGGATCACTTGTTCCATTGTCCTTGGGTTCGTTAACACCACTTCCTTTCTCCCACCTCCTCCTCTCCCGTGTCCCCCAGAATCGTTGATTCCATTGTTTTTTCCTTCAGATTGTTTATCCAGTCTATCTTATCTAGACAGACCTGCAGAGGTAATAATGTGTACAAAACAAGACAGAGCAAAACAAAGCAACAAAGGAAAACAAAAACACAAGCAACAACAAAAAATCAACGACAAAAAAAAGCCTGTAAATAGTTCAAGGTCTGTTTGGTGACCTTTAGGAGTGTTTTCCGGTGGAGTCTGATGGGGTGCCACGTCCTGGCCCCAAAGTCTATTTTTGGTACTCCCTCGGGACTTCCTTGCTCTGCTCCTCTTGCTGTTCTGTCGCACGCCCTTAGTGTTTTGCCTCGGTGTGGTGGCACAAATCTGCACTCTGTCTCCAGTGTTGTCCCCTGTAGGGTTATGGGTCAGTGAGGTATGTTGTGTCTCCTAGTGGGGCCGGCTATATGGTCCTCTCTGTGCATTGGCTGCTCTGAGCAGAGATATCATCCTCAAGGCTTGTTGGGCCAGGATGTGCTCTACTGTCTCTTCCTCCCCCTTCATTTGCTTCCGTGTGCTCTGATCAGACATGTCCCTCTCCCTGAGCTGTATGTAGCTTCAGTGCTGTCTTCTGAAGTGAATTCTTCTGGGGGGAGGGGCGGCTGTCCATGTAGTTGGGATTGTGACTGGCCCCTCAAACCTCTCTACTGGTTCCTTGCTCCATACTGGTATGTTGCATTCACATCTTGGAGCACAGGGTTGAAGTCTGGTCCCTCTTTCCCTGTGGAGATATAAATAATACCCTCCCCTTGGGTGAGTTATTGTCTTGTTTTCTGTGTTATTCCCAGGGCCTAGCATCGTTTATGCCCCTGAGAAATATCCCAATGAGTAAGCTCCATATGAAGCCGAATGGTATCTGAAAATAAGATTTCATTATTCCATAGGTTCCCAAACGTATTTGGCCTACAGCTCCCTTTATAGAAAAAAAAATTATGCAGCACTCTGCTGGCAATGAAAAAGTTTTGTACTATAGCCCACAGTCCAAGATAAAGCACCGATAACAGCTTTTGCAGCCCCCCATTCTTTCTAATACGCCCCCCACTAAACTTATTTTTGCCACTTTCCTTTCTGATAGTCATACTGAACTCTTATTTTAACTTCTTTGCTTTGGCTTCAATGACTAGTTCCATATTTTTTCAGTTGGAGTATTTTGAATTTCTTGAAATTTGTTAGTTTTGTTCTTTTTATATGTAAATTTCCAACAGCTTTATTGATGTATAATTGGCATACAATGAATTGTACATATTTAATATATACTTTGATACATTATGACATGAGGGGGCTTCAAACAGTTTGTGGGAAAGCTGAATTTAAAGGTAATGGAATTTTTGTATACTCTTTGAAGCCCCCTTATTTTATTTATTTATTTATTTATTT